GATTAGGCATCCTGATATGAGCCAAGCAGAACTGAATAATATGACCTTCCTCCCCACCCTGCTTACATAAATCCAGGAAGTACATTTGCAGTTGAAAACCCAGGACCCTGACGCAGGAAGCCAATCAGGATAGGCTGCTCACTGTGCATTGACACTGCTGAAGAGTTAGGTGCAGTCTTACTGAGGGGAGGAATTCAGCTGTGACAGAAACTTCCTCAGGTATTGAAACACCCAGACTGACCCTCCACCTTAACCCTCCACCCTCCAGCAGATGAAATGTTGCAAATACCTGAAAACAGGGCTGCTTCAGAATTATACAAGTGAATGCTGGAAATCATATTTGGCAACTATTAGTGTTCACCTGGATATAAATAAATGTTTGCTTGGGGTTGATAACTGTCACTCAGTCCTGGATGATCACTGATGAAGTCCAAGAGATGGTGAGGTTTTACTGAGGCTCCTGCTGGCTTACCAAGTTGTTCATCAGCCTGATGTCCAGTTGTTGCCTCTCTCCCAGGCTGGTGTTTAGGGTGTGGCTGTCAGGGACTGCATTTGGTGAGGGGGAAGAGGCTGGCGGATTATAACTTTTTTTTTCTTGCAAGAGGATTTTTAACTTGGGAACAGGGCAAGGTAAGGCTGAATAATTTAGCACCTGAAACTGAACAACTCTGTATTGATGATTTTATAAATTCACTCTGCCATATCAGCCACATAGAGATTTGCACAGCAGGCCCTACCTTTTTAAAAAGAAGAACCCGTGACATTTCATAAAACCCCAGACGATATCAACAATCATACGGCAGAATCAGGTTGGAGTCAGTGCAGCGCAGGGCCACAAGGTTGGTGGCTGGTTTGCAGGGGATGGGGTATGAGGCGAGACTGAGGGAACTGGGTCTCTTCAGCCTGGAGAAGAGGAGACTTGGAGGGGATATGTTGGTGACATACAGGTATGTGAGGGGATGTCACATGGAGGTGGATAGAGACCTGTTCTCTGCTGCAGAGGAAGGCAGGATGTGCTCCAACGGAGCAAAGCTCAGGGAACCCAGGTTCCATGTAGATGTCAGGAAGCACTTCCTGACAGTTAGGACCCCGAGGGTATGGAATGGGCTTCTACGGGAGGTGGTTGAGGCCCATCGGTAAGGGTGTTCAAAGATAGGCTGGACATGCACATGGTGGGCATGTCGTGAGCTGAGCTGGTTGGAGCTGGGGGTCAGACTAGATGGCCCGGGAGACTCCTTCTGACTCACTCTATTTCTATGTTTCTATGAATCCTTGAGTGAATGACTTGATGAGTGTTTACTTTCAGAGGACTTGGATCAAAGTGGACTTGAATGCTCCGGTTGTTGTTTCAGGTCCCCATCTGGGGCCAGAGAGCAGCACTCTCTCCTTTAATTTGGCAAGCCTCCTATTTTACAATGATTTGGAGATGCTGTCTGAACACTGTTTTCTGACCTCCAAAGTGGCTACTCAACCTCTGCAGGAAATCCAAGGATATTTCTTGTTTGCAATAGATGGCCCCCTGGCTCCACCATCTGAGTGCCCTTGTTGAGCAGGCAGACCTGTTGGATCCCAAAGCAGCCAAGGAAGGCATTGCAGATACAAAATCCCACTCAGACAGGGCTCTAAAGAATAGCCAGCATTATGGTAATAGGCTCACCAAAAGGAGCAATCTGGGAAAAATCAGACATACTATTTAAAATGTTGGGGAGCAAGGGCTGGTAAATTGTCAATATACAGAGTAAGTATTCACAAGAAAGCAAAAGGATTTGGTTTTAAATCACCATTAACAGTGTTAGATAATACTCAGGATGCTGAGATGAAGTACAAGCTAGTGAAGCAGGCAAGGTACCCAAAAGGGAGGAAATACAAATAATCTATCCAATCCGCAGTCCAAATTTACTTCAGGATACAGTATACAGACAGATCCTATCAGTCTAGTCTTGATGCAACAACAACCATCACACATCAAGGACCCCCATTACATAACAGAGATTGGTCTTGTTTAAGTTTAATGGAAAACAATCTCTTCTTCTCACATTTGGTTTTGCCTGAGATTTGCTCATGGTTCTGTAATAAGGTAGACAGTTTTTTGCAGGCACTGAGTCATTCTGCTCTTAAGGCCCTTATTTCCCTGTATATAATGGAAGTAGAATACCTCTCAAAGTCTAGAATTTTGATCTCAGTTTCTCTCTAGAATTGTGCTGTAAATTGTGTCTTAAAGGATAGAGCAGTTCTGGAGAGGAAGAGATCAGTCACCAGATATTTTAGAGATACTGCTAAACCTGTCCCAGTGAGACACCTGAGGGAAGTTCCCTAAGTAATCTTTAAGGGAGCAAAAAGTACATTACCTATTGAAGACTACAATGAACAGTACACCCAAATTGGGGTGGGTAATTCCAACAGGCAGCAAGTAGCATTATACAAATCAGGAAGAAATATAATTTCTTAGTCAGTTGATAAGCCTGTGGAACAAGTTGCATTGTACTGCTCTCATCCTGGGCCCTACCTCCTAGTCACTGTGCAGGTGAAATAAAATTACTTTTCAGAGGAAGAAGATCCAGTGAAACATTTCCAGGGATTCAGTTCCCTTGAGCAAGTGGGGCTACTGCATAATTTGTGTTTTCTCCAGGAACTACTTGAATTACCAGCTGATTAGAGGGGACAGGGCACAGGACAAAATTCAAGCCACATTTGCATGGAGGATTGGCTGCCTTGGCAGAGCTATTGCCCCCGATGAAGCTGTTTTGTTGGCACAATTTAAGCTTTGGCTCCCTAAGGCACAGGAATTATCCATTAGATATTTATTTTTCCTGGAAGCCTCTCCGTTCACACTCATTAAAGGCAGGAGGGTGTCCTTATTTCACCAATGGTTCTTTACCACCCAGGCTCACTCTCTCAGTTTCTTCAGCTGACTAAATGGTAGATGGGTTGAAAAAACCTCCCTAGTTTAGAGGTACTCATTGGAATACTTCTGGATGGCATAGCCAAAGAGTTCATTATGTATTTACAACAATTTCAGATAATTTCCGTACGAGAAACTTGGCTGGAGCTTACTTCCTGTTTACAACTGAGGGCTTAGAGAGGCTGTTCTTGAAAGCTGCTGTCAGGGATGCTGCTGTGGCGGAATGGCCATGTTTGTTTCCATAGAACTGCAGGGTAACTAATGAATGATAGAACACTAGCTGCACAAAAGCATTCTGATATTACAGGATGCCAGGAATACTTCCTCCCTTTTGTGTATAAATGCTTATGTTCCACAAGAAAATTTGTCACTGTCTCCCTAAGATGTGTGGCTGTCTTTGCATTCTGCCTTGGGACAATATGAAGGCCATCATTATGGCATTGTTTTGGGAAGTGACTTAAATGATTGGCTTGGACATACTAATTTCTGGCTCTTAATCATTTTGGACTTTGCCTGGATGATTTTCTCTGGAGAAGGAACATTTTTGAACATTTTAAATAAACTGTTTATTCACTTAACTAAGCAATACTGTTAATTCAAATGTTGAGAGCATGGGGCTGGGACTCAGATCTGGGTTCTAATCCCTTTTCAGCCATGGAGGCAACTGGGTGGCTTTGGGTCAGTCACAGACTCTCAGCCTCACAAGATTGTTATTGTGAGGGTAAGACTGAAAGGAGGAGGAGGAGAATGATGTAAGCAGCTTTGAGTTCTTTAAAAAAGAAAAAAGGTGGGATATAAATCTAATAACAAATAAATAATAAATTCATTACAGTTGAGTCTTGACCAGTCAACTGAATACAGTGGTACCTCGGCTCATGAACGCCTTGATTCACGACCAAATCGGGTCACGAACAAAAATTTCATGAAAATTTTGACATGGGTCACGAACTCTACATTGGGTGACAACCAAGATCGCAGCCATCTCCCCACCATTGCAGTTGTGTTCGTGCAGGGAAGAGGCGCGCGATCACGGGTGCGCTCCTGCAGGAAAGATGGGCACAATCTCGGCCATCTCCCCCCCCACCCCAACCAGCATGATCGCGGCCATCTCCCCACCCCCCGCATGGGGAGATGGCCGAGATCGTGCCCATCTCTCCATCCCCCAGCATGCCCTGGTCGCGCCCGTCTCTCTCTCCCCAGTGCGCCAGGATGACGGGTGTGTGCAGGGATGACAGGTGTGATCTCGGTCGTGCTGGCGGGGTGGGGAGATGGCCGCAATCTTTGTTGTTCTTTGTCACTTTGCTTCACATTTTTTTGATTTAAAAAATGGTTACAGAACGGATTAACCTTATTTACATTGACCCTTATGGGGAAATTTGACTTGACTCACAACCAGTTTGGGTCACGACCAGAGTCTTGGAACGGATTAAGTTTGTGAGCCAAGGTACCACTGTACTTGGATTGGGTGAAGTGTTCCAAATGTTAACTAGACAAAAACAAACACAGAATCTGTTATGAAATTTGCGGAAAACTCCAGTGCCTTCTGGAAGCTTCACAGGAGACCATGCCAGTACACATGGTGGTTCCTCCTCTTTACCACAACACACGGTGGACTCTGTAGGCAAGCCTGAGCCTGTGGTACTTGTGACTAGAGCTCTAACCCAATATAATGCCAAAGCAAGGCTTTTGTGTGTGCATTTGCTTCATAATCCTTGTTCAGAGATATGCACAGTTGCAACATTTGCATGAGTAGGAAAAACAATGCATTATGTGAAAAGGAAGAAACATGAAGCAAAGGTATACCCAAAATTGCATTTGTTTAGGCTTTATGTCTGAGCAAGGTTATGGTTAATGCAACATAGATCACACTACTAAAACCATTTCAGGCTAATCCAAACATGGCAGCCCATCTTGCAGGATGCATATATCTTATTGCCTGGAAATGTAGGCATGGCTGTGCACATTTGCTGTTATTAATCCAGCAGTGCTGAACTTCACAGCCAAAATAAGGTGTAACATGAACGTGCACGTCAAAGTTGGCTGCTACAGCCCTAGCCTGGTGCCTACTCATGTTTTTAGACATATGGATGGTGCTTACCTTTCTTTTGATGTCAATGAACTGAGAGAACATGAGAGACCAATAGAATGACAGCTCAACTATGTAGTAGTAATGAAGCTCAGGTGTAAGTGGCTAAAAGAAAAATATCAAAGTAAGAGAGAAAAGAATCAGGTAAGTTAAGTAACTCTGGACACTCTATTAAATCCTTACCAGAGTGGCAAAACCTTAGGCCATATATAAAATATTTCTTCTCAGATAAATTGAAGTTCCTTTCCTGCATTTGGACACTAGTTTTGAACTCTTCTTCAGTACTTAACGCAACAATAGTTACTATCGCTTGTTTGCACTGTCAACATTGTCATGAATTAGATGCAGGGCAAATCTTTTTATGGAATAGTAGTGATTTTGCTTCAGTTTTAAAATTAAAACCTCTCTTACGCACATTAAAATGTCTCTCTCAGAACCTGCTAGCTTGAGACTTATTACCTGTGATGTTTACTCTTCAGAATCTGAAGTCTTTGTAAAGTATCCAGTTTCATTTATACAGAATAGAGCCAAATATAAGTGTACTGACCAGATCAGATGGTGACCAAATACCATGTACTCTGGGTTGAGACCATCTCCAATCATTCTACTTTCTGTTTTTGGCTCCCCTAATTAAAAAAATCAATTAATTTGTTCTCTGTCCTGCACACACTATTTCACACTGTACTAAACTTCCAGTATAGCTTCCTACTGTAAGGGGCAGCAATGGGGAGAAGGGACTGGCAACAACTGCCTCCCCTCTTCCGCTGCTGGGAGTATCCCATGAGTGATACTCTGCCCATGGGAGTCTGGAGCCAACCCACTGTCCTGGCTAAACAATAAATGTAGCCATGCAGCAGAATGTTCCCTAACTGAGTACACAAGGTCTGGCTTCACTGGACCAATTTATCTATTCTAAATATGCCTTAAATAATCGGGAGCTATTTGCTTGGCAGGAGTGGCACATTCTTTTATTTGTAGTGCACTGAGGGCTAACTTGTCTGGTGCATGGGGGAAATAATGGATGGGTTATCTTCTATTTGGTCCCTGCTACCTCTTATTTCACAAGACTAAAAAGATATAGTTCAGTCTTCTTTGCAGGCTCATGCAAACTATCTCTTTGTACTTACATAAAGGGCAGAGGGCTATTTGTTAGGATTGCTATTCTTGTAATGAAGATTTTTCAAGTGGACTGATGGCTTGCTATTATTAAGTATTTTTTACTGGGGGAGAAAAATTCTGCATGGTAAACATTTCACTGTGCATTCTTTTTTCAATATTTAAAGACAGAAAACTATTCTTTGCAATAAGAACGTAACTCATCTTGAAAGTTAATTGAACACACAGGAAGATTTTATGCACGTTCAACTAGGAGAACACTTTAATGTGGTGCACTTTTCACTGGACTCAATGAGATGTCTGCCCTAAAGGTTCTTTTATACATTACACTTGCATGCATCACCAAGTGCACATTTGATAGGAGGATGTGGCAAATACTGCTTCTCTGACAAGTGTATCTGTAGGAAACACACATTTTCAATCTCCAGTTTGTTGCATCAATATTTTTAGAAACTAGAAAAACTAAAACCACCACAGCAACATAGAAACAGCTCCAGTCTGATGCATTACCGGAAGACATATGGCACAAGGGCTTCTGATTATTCTACCATCATCAGCTGCAGCCCTCCATGTCCCCCTGAAAGCAGTTCCAGAGGATCCCCCAACCTTCACTGGAGGCTTGCACTAGCTGATGCTGTTTTGCCCTACACTGCATTTTTAGTCTGAATCCAAACCAGCTGTTTGAGTGGAGGTTGCGCTCTCCCACTGATATCCCCACTGCAGCCCTGTGCACCATATCCCATGGGGTTCCAGATGACCCTTCCATGGTGGAAGTCAGGCAACCAATACTACCCACTGAACTGTGCTGAAAGTACAAGTGTTGCTAACTCTCTGGCCTGGTCATTTTGCAGAACAGCATGCCCTTTATTATCCTCCCTGTCCTATATTAAAGAAAAATCACAAGATCCTATAGTCCTATCCAGATTGGCTCTGACATCCTGCTGTTCTGCCATGCTATTAAATCATATTCGCTTGTCAGAACTGACTGTCTCAGAACGACATGCAAGAGATCTTGACCAGAGTGAGCTGCTAAAAATGCAGGGCTGCTTTGAAAATGAAGCAGGGCAGCCATTCCTTGAAGAAAGTATTTACTTCCCCTAGATTTTTATACTGTGCTCTTCTCATAGGGATCATTATTTTCACTTGAATTACTAAAATATGAGTGCTGATGTCAGATTTATGAGATCTGGGTGGGTACACTGTGCAACCGTATGAAAATTTCTAAAAATAAATAGACATCACCTCTATATAGCGAATAATTTAAAGTGCCTTTAAATTATGCAACAACTGCATAATTAAAGAGATGCATTTGCCTTGCCACTGACAGTGGAATTTTATTAATTATTTGGATATCCCAAATTTTGTCATCTACAAACAAAGGCATGCTACAAGTCAGTATGGATTTAAATGTGGTGTACTAGCTAGAACATTGAGCTAGGACCTGGGAGATCAAGGTTCTAGTCCCTGCTCAGCCATAAAACTCTTTGGTGACTTTGGACCAGTCACTAACTCTCAGCCTAACCTCCCTCACAGGGTTGTTGTAAGGATAAAAAGGAAAGGAGGAGAATATAAGCCGCCTTGGGTTGGTAAAGTTCTTCTGAGCTGGGCCCAAGAACAGGGCCCTAGGAAATCTGCCTCAAAAGGGGAGTGGGCCTCTCTCTAGGCAACAGAGAAGCTTCAAACACACTTTCCCCTTTGCTTCCCTCATCATCTCAGTTTCCTCAATGCTAGTGAGTGGAGGAAGTGAAAATGAATCCCCATTTCTTCCTTTGCCCTTCCTTCCGTTTCACCACCAGGGTCAACAGCGTAATGGTAGTTACAGCTCTTTCAAGGGCTCCTGCAATTTCATTCTCAGCATCTGATACTTATTTCCATGCAATCACATAGCTTGCTTTTTTTTTTTTTTTTTTACCTGATTGGGATATCCAATCCAGCACTGCCTGGTGCTCCACAGCCAGGGACTCTGAAAGAACAACGAGAAAGAATGAAGGTTAAATGTTGGGAAATACAATAGGACCCTCTGTACACCTGAATCAAAACCATCCAGTCTTACTAATCAAGACCAAACCCAAATGCCTAATTATCAACAATGTTTATGGCTTATTTACATCATGGAGTGTGGGAACTAAGCTAAGGCAAGATTGTTTTTCCAGAACAAAGCTGAGGAATTGTTGGTGGGAAAAAGCCAACAGCAGTGTAGAGTTTAAACACTGCTGGCTATTTCACAAATCTCTGGAATGTGTATCTGTGTAACCTGATCTAGGGAAGCGTGAATGTAAAAGGGCTCTTGTGCTGAATTTCCCAATTTCCTAAGTGACCAGGTAGCCAAGCTGGGTCAGTGAACTGCTCACCATATTAGATAATCTAATAATCAGTCTGTACTACAACCTAAGTACTACCATGCAGAATGAGGCTAAGACTCAGCTAGCCTATCATTTTCATTTCTGAGGCTTTCCAAACATGACAATGGAGGCAATGGTTGTTCCTTGATTTTTGCTCTCATCTGGTAATCTGAAGCATCCTGGTTCCATATACATAGAAGTTTTATGTGACTATCATGACAAAAGAGCCTTTTTAAAAGGAAAGGGCTGGGGATCGCTATTTTAACTTCTGTACAATCCAATGTCTTGCCCAGGGACACATTTCTTAGTGTCTTCCAGGCTCCCTCCCACCCAGATTCTTATTTTATTTCTTAAGATTTAGTTTATCTAATTCTTTTTTGTTTGTTTTTAATGGGAGACTAGTATGTTGCAAAGAGAATTGCTACCCTCCAACCCTATATTTATTTGAATTGGAAAGAGGAGGCTTGTATTTCAGAGCTCAGACTCCACTTCTGTCGTGTAAGTGGGTTCTTGAGCAAGTTATTTTTCTTTTAGTCTCAGCAATTTGCCTTCTGGGAAATTAGTGTTTTGTGCCATTTTATGAATGAGCAAGCCTGCCTCTTGGCAACCACTAGGTGCTTCCAGACTCTGCTCAGCTTGCAAGGAAAAGCATAGCTTTCACAGCTCGTATTTGTCCTTCCTTCTCCCATTTCCCTACCCCCGCCCATCACATCCATATTATCTGAGGGAACACAAAGGCTTGTATGCATATTTTCTTCAATAAACTCTAGTTGGGCTACTGATGAAAAGACCTGCGAAGTCACTGACTGGACTAAGTTGGCTACATTGCCATAATGGAAGACACAGCCTTGACTTTACAAGAGCTTGTTCACCCTCATGCATGAGGTAACTGTACCCTCTAGTGCAGGGGCCCTCAAACTATGTCCTGCGGGCTGCGTCCGGCCCGCCACGCTGATTTATCTGGCCCACCTCTGAGCTTTTGGACTCGCTCTGAGAAAACGATCTTTGAGCGAGTCCAACAGCTCTAGCCAGCACAGACCTACTCAGTGGGGAGATGGCCGTGATCGCGCCAGTCTGCACCCCCCCTGTTGGCCCCCCAACAGTCTGAGGGACAGTGAACTGGCCCCCTGTTTAAAAAGTTTGAGGACCCCTGCTTTAGTGAAATGAGGCACTGGAGGACAAAGACCACAGCAACAAAACTTCCATGCAGTGGGTTTCAGAAAGTTCCTTCATTCATTCAGCTACCAAAAATCACCTCAACAACTGCAATTTTTCAATAAACTTGAGATGTTTTGAGAATCTTTACAGGATGAAGTCCAAGACAGAAAATGGAGGAAATGCTCATGAACAAGGTGGATTTGATTTCAGCTAATCGATTTAAGTCACAATTTATATCACTAGTTAGTAAGAACAGGTTTAAATCATGACTCATTCTTGCGGGTATAATCTTAATATTTACAACCAGATGAAGATTTCATTTGTAGAATAACAACTTTTCAGATTAATTTTACAGTTATTTCAAAACATTATTGGTTTGGTTATGCTATTAGAAATGCATCATACATAGATAATTATAGAAGTATTGTGAGGTGAACCATATCCAGTTTAATAGGTTAACCACTCATATTAACCCTAACCCTGTACACATTTGAACAAGATAAAACAATTTACTGAAACTTATAAAAATATCAGTTTCACACTTACTGTGCTCTGCTTCTAAAAGTTTAATCACCAAGTTTTACAAACAGAGCCAACTGCTTACAAATGCCAACCCTATGCATGCTTAGTCATTGCTTGCCTCCTCTGTCTCAGCTGCTTGTATGCAACCTCAAGACGAAACACAGCTGCTACAGAGACCATTTGCCACAAGCCTTGCTTTTCTCTCTCTGCACCCTCCATTTATTTATTTATTTATTTATTTATTTATTTATTTATTTATTTATTTATTTATTAAATTTGTATGCCATCCAATTAATAACATCTCTGGCTGGCTAACAGCATAAACAAATTGATGACCCACTCTGGCTGCAATTAATAAAATACAATAGTAACATTTGATATTAAAACTTATTAAAATATTGATTAAATAAAAGGTCTTAATCTGGCGCTGAAAAACATATAATGACAGTGCAAGGCGGATCTCTCTGGGGAGTGCATTCCATAGTCAGGGCGCCACCACAGAGAAGGCCCTCCTCCAGGTACTCTGTCTCCTAACATCTTTCACAGAGGGTTCCCGGAGGAGGGCTTCTGTTGCCGATCTCAGGGGGCAGGAGGGCAAATAGGGAAAAAGGCGTTCCTTTAGGTATCCTGGTCCCAAGCCGTTTAGGGCTTTATAGGTAATAACCAGCACCTTGACTTGAGCCCAGACTTCGATGGGAAGCCAATGGAGCTGATAGAGGACTGGGGTTATATGAGAATAATGCCCAGTCCCCGACAGCATCCTGGCAGCTCTGTTTTGCACCATCTGAAGTATCCGGACTGTCTTCAAGGGCAGCCCCACGTAAAGCGCGTTACAGAAATCCAACCGGGTAGTAACCAAAGCGTGTGTTACTAGGCAATCTTCCTCCAGGTAGGGACGCAGCTGATGGATTAGCCAAAGCTGAAGGAAAGCACTTCCAAGGACAGCTCCGAGTCAAGGAGCACTCCCAAGCTGCGGACCCTGTCCTTTAGAGGGAATGCAACCCCGTCCAGGGCAAGGCCCAAGTCACCTACCCAGGAGCTCAAATCACCCACCAACAGAACCTGCATCTTATCTGGATTGAGTTTCAGTTTATTGACCCTCATCCAACCCATTACCTTGGCCAAGCACCAGTTCAGTACAGCCACTGCCTCACCTGAGTTAGTTGAAAAAGAGAGGTAGAGCTGGGTGTCATCAGCATACTGATGACTCCGCAGCCCAAAGCTCCTGATGACCTCTCCCAGCAGTTTCATGTAGATATTAAATAGCAAGGGGGACAAAATGGAACCCTGTAGTACTCCATGGCAAAGTTGCCATGGCGCAGAGCCAAAGTCCCCCAGGACCACCTTCTGGAATCGGCCGTCAAGGTAGGAGCAGAACCACTGCCAAGCAGTGCCTCCTACTCCCAATCTGCCAGCCTATCCAGGAGGATACCATGGTTGATGTATCGAAAGCCGCTAAGAGGTCCAGGAGAACCAACAGGGATGCACTCCCCTGCACAGGTCATTGTACAGGGTGACCAAGGCAGATTCAGTACCGTACCCGGGTCTGAAGCCAGACTGAAATGGGTCCAGATAATCAGTTTCATCCAAGAGTACCTGGAGTTGTCCCACCACCACCCGTTCCAACACCTTGCCCAAAAACGGGATGTTGGCCATGATCTATAATTGGCTGCCATCTCTGGATCCAGGGACGCCTTCTTTAGGAAAGGCCTGATTACTGCCTCCTTTAAAGGAGCGAGCACCTGGCCGTCCCTCAGAGAGGCGTTAATAACCTCCAGGATCCAGGAACCAATCCCGTGTTTGGCTTTGGTCGGCAGCCACGAAGGGCAAGGGTCGAGTAAGCAGGTGGTAGGACGTACTTGTCCATTGGGCCGCATTAACTGAAATTCATCCATTAATACCTGACCAGACGGAGTCATTGCTGTCTCCCCTAAGGGATCTGAATCAATTGTGACGAATGTGAGCTCGTGACAAATCTAAGCGATTTTCTCCTTAAAGTGCTGGACAAAGTCGTCACAGCGGGCCATTGATGGTGGTACAGGATCTTTCTTAGGGCCGGGGTATATTAGCCCATGTACCACTCGAAAAAACTCCGCTGGACGGCACTGTGAGGAGGCAATGGAAAGGGAGAAGAATTTCTTCTTCGCCGCCCTCACTGCCACAGCGTAGGCTCGATAATGAGCACATAAGTGTGTTCAGTCAGATTCAGCCCATAATTTCCTCCACCTACACTCTAGTCGTCTCCCAACCCGCTTCATCGCCTGTAATTCAGATGTATACCATGGAGATGGACGGGCTCTGCTTGGCAGGAGAGGACACTTAGGGGCGATCGTGTCAATTGCTCTGGCCATTTTCCCATTCCACAGTTCAACCAGAGCATCAACAGGAATGCCAACTTTATCAACCAGAAAATCCCCCAGAGCCCTCAGGAATCCATTTGGATCCATCCGGCTCCGAGGGTGGACCATCACAATAGGGTCCGCACCCTTACAGAGGGAAAGGCCAGCTCCAAGCTCAAACCTCATGAGGAAGTGATCTGACCATAACAAGGGAGTCAGACGCAAATTCCTCACCCTCAAATCACCCTCTTCCTGCCCCACTGAGAAAACCAGGTCCAGCGTGTGACCACATTCATGGGTTGGGCCCATGACATGTTGAGACAGCCCCATGGCCGTCATGGAGGCCATGAAGTTCTGAGCTGACCCGTTCAGAACAGTCTCAGCATGGAGATTAAAGTCCCCCAGGACCAACATCCTGGGGGACTTCAACACCAGATCTGAGACTATCTCCGTCAGCTCAGGCAGGGAGTCTGATGGGCAGAAGGGTACATGGTACACCAGCAGAATACCCAATCTGTCTCGATCGCCCAGCACCAGGTATAAGCACTCTAGACCTGGTCTCGAGGGAACAGGAAGCCCCGTGAGAGAAATAGAAGCTCGGT